AGTCGGAGTTCCTTCAGACACTTGTTAAAAACAAGAAGATCAGAGAAGCCAGGTCATTTAATTTCACATTCAGATATATTGATGATGTTCTTTCCATTAACAATCCAAACTTTTCTGATTGGGTTCCATTAATATATCCCCCAGAACTAGAAATTAAAGAAACAACAGACACGGCTTCCACCGCCTCATTTTTAGACTTATACCTCGAATTTGACAAACGCGGTCATCTCAGTACCAGAATCTATGACAAACGAGACAATTTTAATTTTGAAATCATCAATTTCCCCCCACCTTTGTAGCAATATACCAACTTCATCTGCATATGGGATATATATTTCCCAACGTATTCGCTATTCAAGAGCTTGCAGCTGCTACTCAGATTTTTTAAAACGTCACCAGTGTCTGAGTAGAAAGTTGATGAACCAGGGGTATGTCAGAAAACGTCTCGTCCTTTTTCTAAAATAGTTCATCGGAAGGTACCAAGACCTTGTTGATAAATATTCCGTATATTACAATACACGATGGTCTTGAAGTATAGATTCTGGGAACTGACGTTGGTTATCATCTTAATAACGTGTTATAGTATTCTTTTACTTGTCTTTATGAATATCACTTTTACTTTTTAGTCCGTTTTGGAGATATCCATTTGACGTGGCCTGTTCTTATACATCCCGTCATTGTGTTATTATGCTATGGTAAATTATTGTATTCTTGTCTTTCATTTTTACTAATGTACTTTGTCTATTTGCCTTTTTGTGTTTCTTTGTTACATATTTCTTTGTTTTCATAGTGATTACAATTATAACACAATGTTAACTGATGTACCCTGATGTTTGACATTTTTAACTACTATGTCTGTTTGTTTTGCTCACACATCGTTGTCAATATAATGAAATTATATGCGACTGTCATACAAGTGAGAGGTTTAGCTAGCTATAAAACCAGGTTTAATCCACCATTTTCTACATAAGAAAATGCCTGTACCAAGTCAGGAATATGACAGTTGTTATCCATTCGTTTCATGTGTTTTAGCTTTTGATTTTGCCATTTGATTAGGGACTTTCCGTTTTGAATTTTCCTCGGCGTTCGGTAGTTTTGTTATCTTACTTTGTAATGTAATGAATAAAGGCAACAGTAGTATACCGATGTTTGATAGTCATTATTCGATTAAGCAAAAAAAAAAAAAAACGGTTATCAAACTTAAACCGATGCAATATTATTAGAGGCAAACAACTCAAGTACAACAGAAGCAAACGAAACACCAACAAACATAGAAATGGACTGTAAATAGATATAAGAAGATGTGGTATGAGTGCCAATGAGACAACTCTCCATCCAAGTCACAATTTGTAAAAGTAAACCATTATAGGTCAAAGTACGGTCTTCAACATGGAGCCTTGGCTCACACCGAACAGCAAGCTATAAAGGAACCCACAAGTTCTTCTAGTGTAAAACCATTCAAACGGAAAAACCAACGGTCTAATCTATATAAAAAAAGAGAAACGAGAAACACTTATGAACCACATCAATAAACGACAACCACTGAACATCAGGTTCCTGCCTTAGGACAGGTGCAAACAAATGCAGCGGGTTTGTACGTTTTAATATGTACCAACCGTCACCCTTATCTGAAACAATAGTGTAACATTACAACATAGAAAGACACACTATAGAATATCAATTGAAATAGCTTAACTCAATCAAAAGACATATTAACACAAGTGAACATACACTGAACGAATAAATTTGATCTTTGACACAATGTAATGATTATTTGTTCTTATTATTATTGTATATTTTACATGTAATGCTTTGTCTGCACTCATGTGTAAGCATTTTTTTCAATACATGCTTTTTACAGATATAAAAAGATCCGGTAAGAGCGTCAATGCGACAACTCTCCATCCAAGTTTAGGGACAATCATATATTGTTCAGCCTTTAACTCTATTTATTAATCTTCATATTATGCTTGATCTAAAAAAATATACAGGCTTACACAGGGCAATTCTACTCACGTGAATTTCACGTTATTTAAGATTCAAATGTATATCATGTGAAATGCAAGTGAATTTAACATCAAACGAACGTATACGTCAAACTCATGTGAACTTATTTCACATGAATATAATGGGACACTCACGTGAATTTCGCGTGAAAATCATATACATTATTGTTCACGTGCATTCTCAAATTAGAGTTTTTCAAATAACATCTACATTTCTAAATTTGATTAAAAACATAAAAGATACCAGTAAAGTTTGAGTGAAATCCACGTGAAAAATGTGACATAAGATTCATGTGAATCTCAATTTGAGTGCAATTCTTGAGACAGTTTTCATGTGTTTCATGTATTAACTCAATTGAAGTGAATTTCACCTGATATATATGAAATTCACGTGAGCAACATTTGCCAGTGTATATGTAAAAGAGGTACGAAAGATACCAGAGGGACAGTCAAACTCATAGATCGAAAACAAACTGACAACGCCATGGCCAAAAATAAAAAGACAAACAGAAAAATAATAGTACAGATGACACAACTTTGCTCTTTGAACATGTATTTCTTTGTAACTATATTTGGAAAACAGCAATACACATGATACAATACGTATAGGAATTGTATCCATTGTAACTTTTCTTTTTTTTAAATGATGAACCGTCCATAACTTTTTTTTTTGTTAAATATTAATCCTTACGATCATGATGAGTATGATGATGATAACACTACGAATGTTATGACTGTGTGTACAGGATTCTTATGCCTTGTTTCAGGAAAACTAATTTAATAACATTGATTTATTTTCCTGATAAGAATCATTTTGAACCATTATATAAATACTCACTTTGCCGGCTATTTATTATAAATGTTTTAAAAAATATTTGGAAAATATACTTATGGTGCAATCTTATTTAACAAGTGACATAGAATTAATAATTTTCAAAGCAAAAAATATGTGAATATTTGCTTTGTTGTAAAATTCAATATAAATTTTCTCAAATTCTATTTTAAAATATTTTACAAACTGTTATGAAATCGAAATTATTATGATTATTTATCTTGGGCTCATTTTTTTTGTGTGGCCTTATGAGATGTTTTCATTATTTTCCTTCAAAATCCTGGATCTGCAGCTGAATGTAAACATGATATATAAGTTTTCAATATCGTAAATTTCTACTCAACGAATACAGTTTCTAGCTCAGCTTTTATTGTGCCTAATATCAGTGTCTGCCCTTCTACGATGTTTTGTAAGATTTATTTTGCTGATCGATCGGCCGGCCGACAGTTTAATAGAAGAATTATAGATGGAAATTGGTTAACGGTGAAGAATTGTTTTCCATCTAACTTGATAAAGTTGCCTTGTCCTTGAATTCATAGGACCCTAAATCGAACGGCTGTTTCGTCAGAAAATATCACTCATGGATATTGTATTCCAGCATATAGCTGCAATTTAAATAAACCATTTATATGTCGTAGGTAGTCATATTCATTAAATTTACACCAGGCACCGACGAATCATTTAACCTCTTAACATTTTCTCTTCCGCATAATCTAGAAAAGCTATTTCAAATATACATTTAAAAATTAACCTAATTTCTCCTGCAATAATTTATACTTCATTTACTTTATATTTGTAACGGAACACTCTGGTATGATTAAACTTTAAAGCAAGTCATATATGACACTGACTACACAGAATAAATAACAGACAGACGGAAGTTATCAAAGGAAAAGTCAAGTCGAAAAGGAACTGACATTGTCATGACAAAAACGAAAAACGGAAAACGAGAATAAATAAAATAATAAATCATTATAATATACGTCTTGAGTAATTTCACTACAACACAGTACCGAACCTTGTAGAAGGTGAGACAAAACAATTGTAAACGGTTAGAACGCTTAAATATTTGAAAAAAAACCCTTAAAAATTGTTTTTTTGAAATATTTAACGACTGGACAACCTTCAAAAAGTTTTGCAAAGCATGTTATGACTGTTACATCCTTTAAGAAGTTGCAACAAACAATATCCAACTGCGACAACTTTGGAAAGACTGTAACACAAAGTTTGTTACTGTGACAAAGCATGTTAACCACAGCAACAGTTCTAAAATGACTGTGGATAGCAATTTTTGTTTTTCACAACAAGTGTTGGGACAGACATTAATTAATTATAACAACACAAAAAGGCATCTGTCACAACCGTTTCAGCTATTATCAGTTGATTTAGTAATTATTTTCAGCCCTCCACTGACTACGAAGTCATTCGTACAATGAGTGGTACTGGTACATACAGTTTTTTTTTTGTACAGTAATGGTAACTCTTATAAGGAGTCATCATATATTTGTTTAGTGGAAATAAGAATTTATTAAGATTTTAACGATATAAGCCATTAAATGCATTTTCCCTTATTTTCTATGATTAGTTATGTCAACAATGTCTATTCATTGGCAATAACAAACAAACAAAACACAATTTGTGTACTAGATGACTTATCAGTTAAAGTTTGGTATTAATTGGTACAGTGGTGTCAGAGAAGCAGACTTGTGTTACAATATACGATGACGACGGACGACGACAAGTGGTGCTTAAACTCACATGGCCCTTTTGGCTAGGACCTTGTGTTCAAAAGGAGTCACTTGTTCGTGCTCATTTTTTTTTAATATTCTACGTTTTCCCCATGTCTCTTTAATATGTAGGAACTGCTTACCCCCTCCGAAGCACCCTGAGTTGACCTCCGTTTTTTGTTGGGGTACATGTTTTCTCTTTATTTTTTGCTTTAAAAAAATAAGAGGTTTGTTCAGAATCATAGTCATATTTAACATAGGTTTTCATTAACTTTAACTGGCAATAACTTTAACCCTTTGTTCATTAGCAGCAATTAATGTATCACTAGTCGTGTTCAAGTAAACAGTACAATTCATTAATGACAACTATTGAAAAGTTAAAGACATGCATGACAAATCAGATACATTCTAATCTACGAAATATAAAAATCATACCTAATATATAATTCTCCTTGTTTAACAAATCTTTGTTTTTTACAAGAAATGATAATGTTTCATTCTATCTTGGAAGCCTTAATGCAATGGTCCTACTTGTTTCCTTTATGCGATTTCCCTCAAATAATGTTTCTGGAAGCGCAATTTGTACTGAGTCTTCGACGGGAAATATAAAATGAAGTAAGAATCATATCAGCATGTTATCTTATTGCATTTTTTCTAAGCGACAGAGCGATTTAATCCTGTGTTTGAATTTCCATGATGGTTAATTCATGCTAAGCATGATGTTTTTACCCTGTCGACGCACTCGGTCTCGTTTGTCTTCGAGTTCATGCTAATTCATAATTTTTTGTTTGTTACCTTGCTTTATTTCTTCTTTGTCAATTTATAAGATTTGAATCTCGCTAAACTTCTGTCATCATAATATATAATGTAATTTAGCAAAGAATGAACATTTCATTTTCCCTGATAAACCATTATGTTAATTCATACCTGCGTGCTATGTTATGATTCAAAATTTACATTATAATTTAAACACTTTAAAATTGATTTCTAAAAGATGATATTTAAGCGTTTATTTAATGAATAATGTTGTGTACCTAAATCATTTGTCTGATTGTTATTTTTTTAAACAAGAAGAAATTGATAAAGCAGTTAAAAAGAAAGATGTTTGATAAACAATTAACCTCACTGCTATTTCTTGGAATTGATAGCAAAAGAGGCGTCAAAAAAGTGAGTCAATAGATATCAAAGGGACAGTCAAACACAGCTCAATCGTAAACAAACTGACAATGGCATGGCAAAAACGAAAAATTACCAAACGACAAACAACTGTACAAAAACACCAACATAAATACCAAAGAATATTGAAAACTCATAGATTAACATGTTCACAAGACACGGCAACTAAAATTGTAAGCTGTCTATTGCATATTCAGTTTTCAAAGAAAATAGAGAACATAAGAACCTTACACATCTTTTTTTTCAAACTTAATGTCATTTTAATGCAGTAACGAAGTACTCACACTTCCTTGTGCTGAAAGGAATATCCGTGCTTCCTTTGACTTGCAACTTCAAGCGTAAAACATCTGAGGTTGCCTGAAAATTGATTTGGTATTGCATGACATAGACTGGTACTAAAAACTACTCGAATGGACAAACGTGAATGATAATAAAACTAGTATGAAACGTAAAATAACAAAAATATCAAGCTCCAAAGAAAATTCAAAATACAAATCGGAGAAAAAAAATTAAATTGTTTGAAAAAACTTTTTAGATTTAGGCCATATAAGATCATTTCAAAATTACTTATTGCAGTGCTGTTACTGAAACAATCCTCGTATGCAAATATTCAAAAATGTCAGTTTCTTCATACACAATTAGTTTGAATGCTTACAAGAAAAATCTATAAAAAGATCAGTCAAATTAAATTATTAAATTGGACACTAAATTAATTACACTTACCTCATAATATTGGTACTTGCTAGGCAATATGAAATAAAAAGGGCATTGGTGTACATCATGATATTTGAAATAATTAGGCTTTCAGTAAGCCGGTAAAATAATACAAAGATGTTGTGTGTAGTATTGACTACACAAAAATAAGCCTCAAGGGACAACATAGTGCATTCCACTTTGGTTGTGTACTATGTTTGCAACCTTTTATCATTAGTAAGAATAAAAGGACAAGCAGTAATTTTTTTTTATAAAAGAGGGGCAAAAGATACCAGAGGGACATTCAAACTCATAAATCGAAAATAAACTGACAACACAATGGCTAAAAAGAAAAAGACAAACAGACAAATAATAGTACACAAAACACTACATAGAAAAAATAAAGACTAAGCAACACGAATGGTTTCTTTATAATTTAATTTGATAAATACGGATTGTTATTGACCATGTACAGTAGTTTGCAGATCAATCATACAAAAAAAGGACGTTAACGCCGCTCGCACATATTTCATTTGTTCACTCCAATTTCCGCCTTTTTTGTTAAAAAGTAAAATAACAAAAAAAAAACAAGCTCTGAGGAAAATTCTAAACGGAAAGTCTCTAAGCAAATGGCAAAATCAAAAGCTCAAACACATCAAACGAATGGATAACAACTGTCATAAGCCTGACTTGGTACAGGCATTTTCTGATGTAGCAAATGGTGAATTAAACGTGGTTTTATAGCTAGCTAAACATCTCACTTATATGACAGTCCCATACAATTCCATTATATTGACAACGATGTGTGAACAAAACAAACAGACATAATAGGTAAAAATGTCAAAAAAGTCAGTTAGCGTTTACTATAGGATTAAACACATTTTTTCTAGAGGTTATTGATGTGTAAACCGGGGCGATTAACTCACAAACTGAATAAAAGTCCGAAGGACTTTTATGTAAAGTTTGTGAGTAAGAGACCCGGGTTACACATCAATAACCTCTAGAAAAAATGTGTTTAATCCTTATAATTCTTAAGCCAAATATTCGCGATTTTTAATTAACATTTTTTTGTGCAAAGGCTACTATAATTACCACCAAATGAACAATTGGCAGGTCGTAACTAAGGAGTTGGCTGCCATATTGACTTTCTAAAATCCATAAATGTTCGATAAATGCAACGGAATCTAAAATGAAATAGCACCTACCTCCAAAACTTCATTTTATTTAGATGTTATCGGAATTGAAAGCGTACAAGTAACGAAATAATCTTTCCCTTGAAAGTTTTCATTCGTATGACGTCGTGTTTTGCCATGACGTAAATTCGCCAAATCATTCATGAAATTTCGCGGAATTTTATTTAAATTTTAATTTTATACATTTTCGAAGCTTTAGTGCATTTATTTTATTCATTTCTTGTTATGATTAGAATAGAAACAACTGTTATGCATTTGTTTTTTTAATCTCAATTCGCTTAAATTCCCGGGATCCCTGCAAGCATGTGTATTGCGCATGAATAGATTACGAAAGTAGTTTCGGGAACATGGTTTATCGAAGTGTAAACCAACAGAAAAATTCTAATTGACCAATCCAATTCAAGTATTTATAGATAAGCAAATCATTTAAGAATTATTTGCTTTTAATAAAAAAAAAAGTTTTCCGTCACTCGATTATCAGGCCAGTACAAAAATATTATAAAAAATAGAAATAGTGGCACTTTTTATTGTTATCGACATAAGAATCATTTCCCGTAGACCAAAATCGCTTTCTATTTTTGTTAAACTACATCCTGAAGTTACAAAAGAACAGAATTGTAATGCCATTACATAATAATTAGAAAAAGACAAAATATTATCACCGTTTATGAATGACCACAACATATATAGCAATCTTAAACATAAATGCCTTCCCTTTTTTTACAAACAATCCATGAATTATAAAAACAATAAGAACTTTTGGCACTTTTTGATGTTATCAACATAAGTTTAAGTAACCGTAGACTTAAACAGATATCAATTTGTGTAACATCAAATTGAGAATGAAAATGGGGAATGTGTCAAAGAGACAAAATCCCGACAAAAGAGCAGAAAACAGCCGAAGGCCACCACAGCAAAAAAAAATCCCCCAAAAAATGTGTACTTTTTCACCGAAAATGGACGTCACACTAAACTCCAAAACATATAAATGAACCAAAATAAAAAAAGAAATATACAAGACTAACAAAGGCCAGAGGCTCCTGACTTGGGACAGGCGCAACATCGCGGCTGGGTTAAATATGTTTTGTGAGATCTCAAACTTCCTCCTATTCCTAGCCAATGTAGAATTAACAAACACACAGCAATACGCACAGTAAAACTCAGCTTAAAGGAAGTCCGAGTCCGATGTCTGAATAGGGAACAGAAGAACTAAGCACTATAAATCCTGAGGTATAAAATGAACACAATCGTTACAATATATTTTAGAGAAAGAGAAAGTAATGGCACCTTATGTTGATGCTGACAACAAATGTTGCAATTTAAGACTAAAATTAGTTCCTGTATTCCTGTACCAAGTCAGGAATATGACAGTTATCAATCATGAGAACAGTATAAGTATATAAAAGAAAAAGACAAAATCTGGCATTTCTTATTGTTCTCAACATAGATTTTATAACCCATAGACTTATGTATCTCTCAATCTGTATCAAACTATCCATCCTGAGGCACAAAAAGAACAGAATTTAATGGCGTTTTATAAAGATTTAAAACAAGGGAAAATACTGACACCTTATATTGATGCCGACAGCAAATTTTGCAATTTAAATATTTTAAATTCCTTCCCTTCCATGTCAAACAATCCATCCTGAGATTTAAAAGTACTTAATTATCTGACTAGTATAAGAATATTATAAACAAGACGTTATATAGGCATTTTTTTTTAATTTGCAATGTATTTACTGGCAACACTACATATATAGATAGTCATAGTAGATGGTTTAATTATGGTAGTAAGTCCATAGTACATCAGCAAAATCAAGACAAATACATATAGTTGTTTTTTTAGTAATTTGACACAAACATATAAATAAAGAATAATGACATAAAAACCTATGCAGCCTGGATTGGGAAGATCTTTGCATTACTTAAAAATTTACTTGTATAATTATTTCATTAGTTGGAGCTAGTGGTTCCAGCCGAAGTACGCTATTTGCAATGCTTTATCTTTAAAAATATTATATTTTCAACAAACATATTGTCTTTTAGATATTTCTTAAAGTACAATATTTACTTGTCCACTTTGCATTTTTGTTCTGTATATGGATTATTTATTTAACAATATTATTAGGTTACTTATGTTTTTTTTTCTGTTTTGTCTAATATCCCAAATAAGACTATGTTGAAGTTAAGTGGTAGTTCAATTTGGACTTATATATATATCCATCTATTAAGGTTTTCCCATACTTCAAATACTTTTGGACATGTCAAGAAAATGTGTTCTATGGTTTCTATTGAGTCCGCACAGAAACTACATTTATTGTTTGGTATAACTTTGATATTTTAGAGAAATTCATTTGTCCCCAAAATTCTCTGAGTGATCCTGTATTGAAGCTGTCGTAATTTAGAATTTTTAGTTATGTAAAAGGACATTATAGACACTTTACTCCAAATACTATCAAGTCTTTTTAGGATTAAGGACAACTTGTTCTTTGATATGATATTTGATATTTTATCTTTCAAAACATTGAAAATGTCTTTTGATCCTTTTGTAGATTTTAAAAATATTGCAGTAGTAATTGGTATAATTGACCCATGAAGCTCATAAATCTGATAACATTTGATATCTGGACTTTTCATTTAAAATTTAACTGCTAATATACCCCCTGGAATATAAATAAGTTTGTATCAATTATATATGTTTTTTTTTAAATTCCTGTCAGTCAATAAATGCTTATCATTATCAAATAAAACCACTGATTAACCAGACTCCCTTTTCAGTCCATATTTTGAACACAGGGGTTTGAATACCAATCTTAATTTGTTTTTTAATCCAAATATTAGATGTGATAAAATCATATTCGTTATTAACAGCTACTTAAGTTTGGAGTTAGGTGCAAGCATTAAAAACTTCCTGTCTTAAGTGATTTTTTACTCGTGTTCTTAGACCTACATAGAGCAGTTCCTTTAATTTTATGTTTTCCAATAAGTCAGTGACTTACAATACCTATTAGTCTGTTTATTGATTCTTCTTATCCAAGTTAATTTTAATCCTTTTATATATTGTTTTAGGTTTAACATGTTAAGCTTACCTAATTCATATTTTTGGGAAATTGTTTCTCTTTTAAATTTTGTCCAATTTACCATCCCAAATAGAAGGACACACTATTAATAAATTGGTTAAGTAACCCATTGTTAAGATTTTGTTAATTTTAAAAATAGGTGATTAAGCTTTGAGATTATAAGACTTAATTATAATATTTGTTTTCAATCGGGAATACGTATTTGTTCGACCAACTATTTATTGTTCTCTCTATCGCTTAAGGTTTGGGTCTATAATTTAGCTTTCAATTCTTGTTAATCAACCGAAAATGTAATACCCAGAAGCGTACATCTGTTGGAACTCCACTCTAATCCCCACTTTTCACACATTGTATCTTGGCTATTTATCTTTTTCCCAATCCAT